CTCTCTCTCTCTGTTTAATAGATCACATCTCTACCCCCTTTTCCCATTTCAATGTAGCTTTTTCTTTATATCCTTAGTTATATAAGATCTGTTCTGCTAGTCCTCAGTTCATTCTCAGAGATAGTTGTCCTACTAATTGAAGATTTTGGTGTGTCCACGAGAGAAGATGAGCTACCTTTATCTACTTGTATTTAAATTCCCTTATTAGAAGACCCCTGATTGGGGCGCCTGGGTGGCTCAGTTGGTTAAGCATCTGACTTCGGCTCGGGTCATGATCTCACGGTTTGTGAGTTCGAGCCCTGCATCAGGCTCTGTGCTGACAGCTTACAGCCTGGAGCCTGTTTCAGATTCTGTCTCCCTCTCTCTGCCCCTCCCCTGCTCACATTCTGTCTGGCTGTCTCTGTCTCTCAAAAATAAATAAATTAAAAAAAGTTTTTAGAAGACCCGTGATCTTGCTCTACATTCTAGTCTCATCATATTATCAACTTCCTTTTGAAGTCTCTGCTCCAGTCCTTTGTTCATTTCCTCCCTCACACTTTTATGTTCTCTCTTACCACAAATAGCGTTCAACCTTGTTTTCAGTGCCTCAAATGCATTTCATCCTCCCTTTGCCTTCTTAACTTCACCTCATCATACCAGTCTCAGCTTAAATGTCACTCTTTCAAGAAGTCCACTAGATATTTCTGAAGCAATGAAATTCCCCTACTGTATTTTAGCAATGCACCAGGTAACTCTTCTTCACTGATACCATCACATGTTTATTTTTTTAACCACATGATGCCTATTAGCCGCTCAACAAACAACTGCAAGAATGATGAATAAGAAGCTCTTTACAGGCCTGAGTCAGATTAGCCTTAGGATCAAAACCAAGCTCCAAGATCTCGCTAACTCCAGTGTCACTACATCAAGCAGTACGCTATGTTATTAGCTATGTGACTCTTGGGAAAGTATTTAACTTCCTTTGTTTGTTCTCTCAAGAGACTTTTGGTTATATTAGGAACTATCTTGAAGTGGTGTAAGTCAAATTCATTGGCTCAAGTACCTAGAAAGAGAAGTTCCTCAGACTCTAACCTCCTATATTTAACCCATAACAGTATCTGTTTCCATAGACTCTTTCTTCCTATTACTATAGATGGACCATTTTCTTGTAAAATACTTCTGCATTTAAAAAAATCCTTCTGCATTTGCCCCCTTAATTCCATTTTCCTCTCCCCTGCTCAGGGAATGTGATCCAGAAATGTTTCCTCTTACTTATTCATCATCAATTTTTCTTTTTCTCCTAGATCATTCCCATTGAGCCACAAATATTTTCTCTTAAAAAAGAAAATATTTTTTTAAAAGAGCACTCGTTCTTTGCAGCCAAATGCTGCCTTATGTATTTGTTTCCCTTCACAGCAAAAATCTACAACAAAGTTGCCTATCCCCACTGTCCACCAATCATTCTTCTCTTGTAATTTCTTAGAAGCATTCTAGTCAAGTTATACTCCAGCTATTGCACTGAAACTACTTCCAGAAAACTTCTCCTAACAAGGCCATCAGTGGCTTCCGTGCTGACCCATCTGACACAGTTGATCATGCCTTCCTCCTGGATCCATTTTCTTCACTTGCCTGACAAAACACCACCCTCTACTGATTTCTCTCACACTTTAGAATTCACTTCTTGGAGGGATTCCTCTGCAGTTCTTACGACCTCTAAATATTGGATTGCCCCAGGACTCTGTATTTAGGTTTTCTCTACCTTCATATATTGTTTTGGCAAACTCCTCCCTTTTCAGGTCATTAATGCCAAATTCATATCTTTCACAGACCCATTTTCTTAACTCCATATTTACATATTCATTCCCTTATTATCATAAGCACACAGATGTCTAACAGATGTCTTAAATCCAACATGTCCAAAACTAAACTCCCGCTCCACCTACCACCCACAAAATCTCAGCTGATAACAGTTGCTCAGGGGGAAAAAATGATATCATCACTGATCTTTCTCATTTTCTCCTAATATCATCCAATACCTCAGGAAATCCATCTGACCTTGTATTCAAATCCATAACCCAATCATTTCTCATATTCTTGTCCAAGTCACCAGTAATTATCTCCTCCTTCAATTATTAAAATAGCTTCCTTCCTAGTTATTTCTACTTCCATTGTTGCTCATCCGTACAGTCCTTCTCAATAAATCTTTTATTTTTTAAATTTTAATAAAATATTTTATTTAACCTGATGTGTCTAAGATATTCTCACTTCAACATATAATCACCATAAAAGTATTAATGAGATACTTTACATTCTTTACGTTCGTCTTTTTTTTTTTTTTAATTGTACTAAGCCTCAAACTCTGGTGTGTATTTTACACTTCTCATATCTCAGTTTGGACTAGCCACATTTCAAGTGCTTAGTAGCCACAAGTCGCCCAGGGCTACTGTTTTAGACAGTGCAATGCTAGACTTCTGGCAGTGGTAATTTCAAGTATGCCCAAGCACACTTTGTCCAGCACTATGGAGGAATTCTAACACACTGAATAAAGAGTCAAATATTCTGTTTCTAGTCTTCACACAACTATCAATCTTCTTTCCCCTCAGCTAATTCATCCTCAAAACTGAGATAACACCTTCCTTACCACTGCCATTTAGTTTTCTTTTTCTTTCTTTCTTTTTTTAAATTTAAATCCAAGTTAGTTAACACATAGTGTAATAATGGTTTCAGGAGTAGAATTTACTGATTAATCACTTACATATAATACCCAGTGCTCATCACAACAAGTGCCCTTTTAATACCTATCACACTTTTAGCCCATATCCTCACTCAACACCCCTCCAGCAACCCTAAGTTTGATCTCTGTACTTAAGAGTTTCTTATGATTTGCCTTCCTGTTTTTAACTTATTTTTCCTTCCCCTTCCCTATGTTTATCTGTTGTGTTTCTCAAATTCCACATGAGTGAAATCATATGATATTTGTATTTCATTTAGCATAATACACTCTAGTTCCATCCATGCAGTTGCAAATGGCAAGCTTTCATTCTTTTTGATCCCCAAGTAATATATTCCATTATACACACACACACACACACACACACACACACACACACACACACACATCACTTCTTTATCCATTCATCAGTAGATGGACATTTGAATTTTTCATAATTTGGTTATTGTTGATACAGTTGCTATAACCATTGAGGTGCATGTGCCCCTTCTAACCAGCATTTTTGTATCCTTTGGATAAATACCTAGCAGTACAATTGCTGGGTCATAGGGTACTTCTATTTTTAACTTGTTTAGGAACTTCCATATTGTTTTCCAGAGTGACTGCATTCCAGTTTGCATTCTCACCAGCAGTTCAAAGGGGTTCCCTTTTCTCCACATCCTTGTCAACATCTGTTGTTTCCTGAGTTGTTAATTTTAGATATTCTAATAGGTGTGAAATGGTATCTCATTGTGGTTTTGATTTGTATTTCCCTGATGATGAGTGATGTGGAGCATCTTTTCATGTGTCTGTTAGTCATCTGTTAGCCACTTTTCTTTGGAAAAAAATGTCTGTTCATGTCTTTTGCCCATTTCTTCACTAGATTATGTGTTTTGGGGGTGTTGAGTTGAATAAAGTCTTATAGAATTTGGATACTAACCCTTTATCTGATCTGTCATTTGCAAATATCTTTCTCCATTCTATCAGTTGCTGTTTAGTTTTGTTGATCGTTTCCTTTGCTGTGCAGAAGCTTTTTATCTTGATGAGGTCCCAAGAGTTCATTTCTGCTTTTGTTTACCTTGCCTACAGAGACATGTCTAGTAAGAAGTTGCTGTGGCTGAGGTCAAAGAAGTTGTTGCCTGTGTTCTTCTATAGGATTTTGATAGTTTCCTGTCTCACAGTTAGGTCTTTAATCCATTTTGAATTAATTTTTGTGTGTGGTATAAAAAAGTGGTCTAGTTTCATTCATCTGTATGTTGCTGTCCAGTTTTCCCAGCACCATTTGCTGAAAAGACTGTCTTTTTTTCCATTGGATATTCTTTCCTGCTTTGTCAAAAATTAGTTTGCCATAAACTTGTGAATTCATTTCTGGGTTCTCTATTATGTTCCATTGATCTATATGTCTGGGTTTTTTTGCCAGTATCATACTGTCTTGATGAACATAGCTTTGTAATACAGCTTGAAGTCTGGAATTGTGATGTCTCCAGGTTTGTTTGTTTTTTTTAACATTACTTTGGCTATTCAGGGACTTTTCAAGTTCCGTACAAATTTTAGAATTGTTTGTTCTAGCTCTGTGAAGAATTCTAGTGGTATTTTGATAAGGATTGCATTCAATCTGTAGATTGCCTTGGGTAGAATAGACATTTTAACAATATTTGTTCTTCTAATCCATGAACATGGAATGTTTTTTCCATTTCTTTGTGTCTTCTTCAATTTCTTTCATAAGGTTTCTACAGATTTCAGTGTACAGAACTTTTGCCTCTTTGGTTAGGTTTACTCCTAGGTATTTTATGGTTTTTCATGTAATTGAAAATGGGATCAATTCCTTGATTTTTCTTTCTGCGGCTTCATTATTGGTGTATAGAAATGCCACAGATTTCTGTACACTGATTTTATATCTTGAAATTTTGCACAATTCATGTACCAGTTATAGCAGTTTTTGGTGGAGCCTTTTGGGTCTTCCAAGTAGAGTATCATATCATCTGTGAAGAGTGAAAGTTTGACTTCCTCCTTGCCAATCTGGATGCCTTTCATTTCTTTTTTTTTTCTTTTTTTTTTTTTTTTTTTGTCTGATTGCCAAGGTTAGGACTTCCAGTACCATATTAAACAACAGTGGTGGGAGTAGACATCCCCGTCATGTACCTAACCTTAGGGGGAAAGCTCTCAGCTTTTCCCCATTGAGGATGATATTAGCTGTGTGTCTTTCATATACAGCCTTTAGGATCTGGAGGTATGATCCTTCTATCCCTACTTTCCTGAGGGTTTTTATTCAAGAAAGGATATTTTAAATGTATTTTTTCAAATGCTTTTCCTGCATCTATTGAGAGAATCATATGGTTCTTACCCTTTCTTCTATTAAGGTGATATATCACATTGATTGAATTGCAAATATTGAACCTCTGCTGCCCCCAAAGAATAAATCCCACTTGACTGTGGTGAACAATTCTTTTAAAATATTGTTGGATTCAATTTTCTAGTATCTTGTTGAGAATTCTTGCATCCATGTTCATCAGTGAAATTGTTCTGTAATTCTCCTTTTTAGTGGGGTCTTTGTCTGCTTTTGGAATCAAGGTAATGCAGACTTCATAAAGTGAGTTTAGAAGTTTCCCTTCCATTTTTATTTTTTGCAACACTTCAAAAGCATAGGTATTAACTCTTCTTTAAATGGTTGATAGAATTCCCCCGGGAAATCATCCAGTCCTGGACTCTTGTTTGTTGGGAGATTTTTGATTACTGATTCAATTCCTTTACTGGCTATGGGTCTGTTCAAATTTTCTATTTATTCCTGTTTCTGTTTTGGTACTTTATATGTTTCCAGGAATTTATCCATTTCTTCCAGATTGCCCAATTTGCTGGTGTATAATTTCTCATAATATTCTATTATTGTTTATATTTCTGCAGTGTTGGTTGTGAATCTTTCCTCTTTTTTGTGATTTTATTTATTTGGGTCCTTTCCTTTTTCTTTTTGATCAACTGGCTAGGGGTTTATCAGTTTTGTTAATTCTTTCAAAGAAGCACCTGCTAGTTTCATTGATCAGTTTCTATTGTGTTGTGCTTTTTTTCCATAACATTAATGTCTGCTTTAGTCTTTATTATTTCCCTTCTTCTGTTGGTTTTGAGCTATATTTGCTGTTCTTTTCCAGCCCTTTTAGGTGTAAGGTTAGGTTGAAACCTTAATTCCTTCTTCAGGATGTCCTGGATTGCTATATACTTCCCTCTATGACCTCTTTTGCTGCATTCCAAAGTTTCTGTACTGTCATGTTTTCATTTTCATTGGCCTCCATGTACTTTTTATTTCCTCTTTAATTTCTTGGTTAACCCATTTATTCCTTAATAGGATGTTCTTTAATCTCCAAAGATTTGTGGTCTTTCCAAATTTTTTCTTGTCATTGACTTCAAGTTTCATAGCACTGTGGTCTGATAGTATGCATGATATCATATTGATCTTTTTGTACTTGTTGAGGGCTGATTTGTGACCCAGTATGTGATCGATTCTAGACGATGTTCATGTGCACTTGAGAAGAGTGTGCATTCTGCTGCTTTAGGATGAAATGTTCTGAATATATCTATTAAGTCCATCCAGTCCAGTGTGTCATTCAAAGTCATCATTTCCTGTTGATTTTCTGATTAGATGATCTGTCCATTGCTGTAAGTGGGGTGTTAAAGTGTCCTATTATTATTGTATTATTATCAATGAGTTTCTTTATGGCTGTGATTAAAAGATTTATATTCTGGTACCCAAGTTGGGGGCATAAATATTTATAATTATTAGATCTTTTGGATACATCCCTTATAATGTCCTTCTTCATCTCTTGTTACAGTCTTTGATTCAAAATCTAGTTTGTCAAATGTAAGTATGGTTATTCGGACTTTTTTTTTTTTTTGATGTCCATTAGCATGATAGATGTTTCTCTATTCCCTTACTTTCACTCTGAAAAACATGTCTCTAGGTCTAAAATGAATCCCTTGTAGGCAGCACATAGATGAGATGATTTTTTCATCCATTCTTATGTGCAATGTCTTTTGATTGGAGCATTTAGTCCCTTTACATTGAGAGTGATTATTGAAAGATATTAATTTAGTGCCATTGTGTTGCCTTCACAGTTGGTGTTTCTGGTGACATTCTCTAGTCCTTTCTAGTATTTGTTGCTTTGGTGTTTTTTTGTTTTGTTTTGTTTCTCCAAAGGGTCTCCCTTAAAATTTCTTCCAGGGCTCATTTAGTGATCACAAACTCCTTTAGTTTTTGTTTGTCTGGGAAACCCTTTATCTCTCCTTCTATTCTTAAAGACAATCTTTCTGATTAATGAATTCTTGGTTCATATTTTTCTGACTCAGCATGTTGAATATCTCCTGCCACTTCTTTCTGGCCTGACAAGTTTCTGTGCTGCAACCTGACCTGTCTTCCTTTGTAGGTTAAGGACTTTTTTCTCTTTGCTGCTTTCAGGATTCATTCCTTAACTGTGTATTTTGTGAATTTAACTATGATATGCCTTGGTGATGGTCAGGTTTTTTTGATCTAATGGAAGTTCTCTGTGCTTCTTGGATTTTGACATCTGTGTCTTTCCCCAGAGTAGGAAAGTTTTCAGCTACAATTTGCGCACATAAACATTCTGCCCCCTTTTCTCTTTCTTCATCTTCTGGGTCTCCTATGATATGAATGTTATTCCTCTTTAATAAGTCGCTGAGTTCTCTAAGTCTTGTATCATGATCTTTTGTCTTTGTTTTCCTTTTTTTTGCCTCATTATTTTCCATTTTATCTTCTATATCACTGATTCACTGCTCTGTTTCATCTATTCTTGCTGTTATAGCACCCATTAGAGGTTGCATTTAATTTATGGCATTTTTAATTTCAGCCTGACTAGATTTTATTCTTTATCTCTGCAGAAAGGGGTTCTCTGGTGTCTTCTATGCTTTTTTCAACCCCAGATAGTATTCTTATAACTTTGGTTTAAATTGTAGTTCAGACATCTTGTGTTGATTAAATCAATGGCCATCATCTTTCTTTGGGGGTGAATTCCTCTGTGTTGTCATTTTGGAAGAAGAAAAAATAATAAAATTAAAAATTAAAATTAAAAACAAAACAAAAATATCAAATAAAGGAAGCTAGATTCTAGGTGTGTTTGATCTGCTTGTTGAGAGAAGCTTGATGGAAAACAGGAGAAAGAGAAAGGAAAAAAATTAATTTAAAAAGTAAAAAAAAGTCAAATAATCTAAAAAAATAGAGATAATAAAATAGAATAAAAAATTAAAAAATATCTTTCTGTATCTAAGAGGAAGAAAAGAAAGAAAAACGAAAGCAACATGAGCAGAAACAGCAGCAAACACAACAAACAAACAAAATTAACAAACAGAATGAAACTCAAATGAAGTTACATCCAGTTTCCCCCAAACTGAAACTCTGCAGCACACCACAGTCCGTAGACTAACCTGGTGGAAGAAATTTCTGCTGGTCTTCTGGGGAATGTGCCCGGAGGGTGCGGGTGGGGAGGGTTTGGTGTAATGGCTTCATTCTCCACATGGTGGCATTGTTTAGCTCACTGGAATAACCCCATGGGTGTGTGCATGCACACTATCGGTGAAAATAGCTTCACGCAGTTCTCTAGTCTCTGGCACAGCAATTTCATGCCCTCACAGACACATGATCAAGCAACCCTCCTTTGTCTCAGGTTTCCATCTGTTCCCTGCCTTTACCTTGTCTATGTCCAAGCTGTCTGCCTGCCAGGTTTGTCTCCCTCCAGAGTTTTAGCTCAGATGGGGCTGGGTTTCAAAGCCCCCACACTTCAGAGACCCCCATGGTTTGGACCTGCACTGATTCTTTGTGGGATATCCTCTCAGAGCAATGGCCCAGTATCAGTTTGTTCCCAAAAACATCCCCATGATTGCTCAGTGGCAGAGACTCAAAGTTTATGGTAAGTCACACACACAGCTGGCTCCAGGTTTTTCTGCTCTTTGACATCTTTGTTCCAATATCAGTAAATATGGCAGCTCTCCAGGTCCACAGGGACTTTTGCCCACTGGGAGGGTATATGGCCTCTACCAATTGCACTACAAGCAGGGAAACTGCTTCTCCCCATGTGGCCCATGGACCCCTCAGACCACGCTGCCTGCTCCTAGGTATTCACCCTACTTCCTCACCAGAGCACTTGTAGGCACTGAGCTCTGAAACTTCAGACTCTGTGCCCCACTGTTTATAGAATCCTGGTGGTATTGAAACTCTCTCCTTTCTCCCCATCAATGGTTTTGGGGAATAGATTCCTTGAACAGTCCCCTGTGAGAGTTTTCATCCTTTCTCTCTCTCTTTCTCTCCAGCTCAGCTATTCAGGCAAGTGCGTTTCTTGCACGATCCTGATGTGCTGAACTCTCCCTCTTTCTTTCTTTCTCTCTCTCTCTCTCTCTCTCTCTCCCCCACTCTGTCTTCTCACCACGAAAATGGGTCCCTAACCTCCGAGCCACTGTTGCTTTTCTCTCTCCCAATTCACTTCTCCACACCGCATACCTGCCAAGTTCTCTGGCTCAAATTATGCAGATTGTTGAATCCTCAGATCAATTTCCTAAATGTCCAAAATTTGATCCTGATCTAGCTGTGTTTCAGGGATGAGACAAGCTCAGGGCCCTCCATACTACTTTGCCATCTTGACTCCTCCCCTCTACTCTCAACAAATCCTTTAAATGTATAACCCAGATCACTTCACTCTGATGCTTAAAATTTGATAGTGGCTTCATATTTCACAGAGATAAAAACAAAAACTCTCACATATGGCTATCCAGCCCCATATAATCTGGACCCATCCTTTTTTGCCTCTCTGACTTTACCTCCTTCAATTTTCCCTTCAGTTTCAGCCACACTGGCTATCTTATCATTGGCATATACTTGGCTTGTTTTTGCTGGAGGTTGCTGCACTTGCTGTTTCAGCTCCTTGGATCACTCTTCCCACGTACCTGTTTGCCTCACTCTCTACTTCTTTCACATATGTGTGTAAATGCCAGCCGTAACTCTCTTATTTAAATCAAAACCTGCCTACTTCCTTACTCCTATGCTTTCCTACTTGTTGTTTCACCCTACTCAATCCCTTGTACCTCATAGGATTTATCATTCCCTAACATACTATGTAATTTACTTAGCATTTTATTGTCTGCCTCTTCCTACTAGAATGTAAATCCCACCAGGCAAGTATTTTTAAGTGTTCTTAAATCCCCCAAACCTACAATAGTGCTCAGCAGTAGACTTGGTAGGAACTCAGTAAGTATCCACTGACTGAATGGGAAAATTACAAGTGGATTGGGCCTCAGGGACAACTAGCTGCAAACACAGGACCATATTACCCATTAAGGTTTTCTACACCCATTGTCTCTGTTTAATTTTCTCTGTGTTTTAGCCACATTCTCTCCTAGTACAGGT